AGAAAGGCAACTAGTAGAAAAGAAAGGTGTGTTTGAGGTAGAACAAGTGAGATTTCTATGCAAGTGCGACAAAAACAAAGGCAACCACTAGGGACGCTTTAATCGAAAACAAGGGGACGAGCGCAACAATGAAGACCCCAAAACTGGTTCTAGTGTACCAACAATTAGGTTTTTGCTCTTCTACTCTTCTTTTCCCTTTGTTGGTTATGGAATTGTGGTTCATTAATTTAATCTCAGATTTTATCATGTTTCATATGAACTAATTTCGCCATCTAAGGCTACAATGTAGTCTAGTTAATTTGATATAAAACTTCATGATTTTTATATTTTCAAGGTTTATTATTTCATGTGAAGTATATATTATTGTTCTTAATGCTTTTTAATGATTGGCCACCATTAAAACTGATTTGGAGAGCATAATTGAGACTAAGAGGAGATTTTATGCAATAGCTTCTAATAATATATACCATGAATTGAACGAAAGCCAAATATGGACCAACATGATTCGTGTAGCATTAGTGATAAGTGGACTTAATTTTCTACGTAAACTAGGGAATTTCATAAAATATAATGTGTCTTTATCTATTTAAATTCACGTAGAGATATAGTAGGTTAATAGGTGAAGATAGGTTTGATATAACTTGAGAAAGTATATCGAATAGAATAGGAAAAATCTTGCTGTCACATGAATAATAAATACCTTGAAAGTATATTAATCTAAATTCTATATTAGTTGACTATGGTGAAATCGAATGCCTTAGAATTTTGATTCTTGGTGTTGCTCAAGGTTAATTTAGTTTTTTCTTTAATTTTGCATTTTTAGTTAATTATTTTATTCAAATCATTTAGTTTTAATTGTTCAAATAAAATTAAAATTAGTTAATTTTGGTACTTAATTAATCTACAATCTCTGTGGGACGATACTCTATTTTCATCATTATATTACTTGAACAGACTAGTACACTTGCTAGAGTGGAATTTAGCTCATCAATTGGGATTAACGTGGAAAGAGTACATAGTACTTTATGATAGCCAAAGTGCTGTAGATTTGAGCAAGAATAATATGTATTGTGCTCTAGATTTGAGCAAGAATAATATGTATCATGCCCTAGATTTGAGCAAGAATTATATGTACCAAGCTTGAACAAAACATATAGATGTGAGATATCACTAGTTGCACTTGGTGATAGAGAATAAGCAGTTTCAACTTAGAAAGATTCACACAAACAACAATGTTGCCAAAATGATAACGAAGGTTCTTCTTAAGGAAAATTTTGAATATTACATGAAATTGGCCAAGATGGATTCCAAGTAAGGAGTCAAGATTTAACTCTCCTCCCATGAGGTTAGAGGGGAAGATTGTTGGCAGAAAGTCCAACCTCATGTGAACACGTGGACTTTCCATGTGGTAAATTTCTCATCATGTAGTTAAAAGGCCGCACCTATAGCAGCACTTGTTGAAATCTTGCATGGTTATTTTTAACCATTGAAAGTTCACTCATTTAATGAGGCAAGAAAATCATGCATGGGTGGTTGGATTTTTACCCTATAAATACCCATGCAAAGGCAAGGCAAGGCAAGGCAAAAAGTGCAAGCAAGTAGCAGAGGAACACCAAAGTGAGAGAGTGACTTCAAAGGAGAGAGCTCAAGTGAAAGAAAAAAGGGGGGAGAGATAGGCATTACGTTTAGGTGTAAGTGTGCTCCACAAAGAGAGTACATTGAGTGATAAAATTGTGAGTTTATTAGTATTGTCATCATATCTTGGGGAGTGGGAAACACCAAAAGAGAAAAACACTTGAATGTATACTCTGTACAATTTTATCACATATTGGAATACCTTTAAAAATTTTTCTCATGATTTTTTCCTTCAATAGTTTTTTGAGGGCTTTTTCACGTAACATTTGTTGCTGTTTTATTATTTTTGTTTTTTTATTTTTCTCTTAAGTGACTAGTTAAATCGCCATTTTATTTTGCTTGGCTAGCTAAGTTGCCTTTATCATTAACTATTAATGTTAGCTAGCAAAGCCGCTTGTTTCACCATTCTTTGTTATCATTCATGTATTTTGTTCACAAGAACTATTTCATTCCATGTTTTGTTCATGTGTTTTGAAGTTGTACAAGTATAGTCTTTTTTCTTTTTTTTTTGGTAAGGCAACAATTTTATTTCCTTAGGTGCAAAGGTACCCCAACCCAACCCATTAACATACCATAACTTACAACGAAACTACCATTCCACATCAAGACAATAGTACAAAATTCTAAACAAAACCCATCCCCATTCGGAGACTAGCATTCAACATGCCTTCATATTGCTATTTTGGGATCATCCTTTCATAAACCTTGTTGCAGATCTGGGAACAACTTTGCCTTTAACTAGTAGAAAGATCTATACTTTATGAGCACACACCTCATCTTCACTGTCTTGCTCTTTCCCAAATATTTTCTAGTTCCTACAAATCCATATAGTCCAGGTTGTTGCCAACCATATCACCATACAAGCTTCTCTAAGCTCCTTTTTATGAACAACCTCCACATCTTGCTTAAAATGCCTTCAAACATCCACCTGTGCTACTGAAGAAAAGCCCCACCAAGATTAGCGATAGGACCAAAGCTTTCATGAGAGGGCATTTACAAAAGATGGGACAAGGATTCTTCATCTGTTGAACACAAACTACACATAATTTCCTTATAGTCCACGATGACACGTCTTCTAGCCAAGTTGGTTTTTGTGGGCAATCTGTCAAACAAATCTCTCCATTGTTGCAACTTTTAAGGGCACCAAATCCATTCTAAATCTGGTTGAAACAATTAATCTCCTATATTGGCTAAGATTGAGTAATCTGATTGTAAGCCGACTTAGTACAGTCATTACTTGCAAGCATTCAACTACTGTACTCGAATTGGGAAAAAATTGGATCAATAACAGGTATAAAAGGAAATATCCTCTAAAATCAAGTTAAATATCATATACATTGGTTGAGAACTGTTTATTCAACCTATTGACCTAATTTATTTAACTAATATATTACTTGTATATATACCTAACAAAGGAAGAGACTAACCTTCTAATGTTGAATTGTAAACTCTCCCATAATGTTTCCATGAAATGCTATCAATGGTTGTAATACCCAAGGATTTCTTACTTAAGATTTAAATAAATTATGTAAGCTGTTAGAGGATGTATATGTGATAGGATTAAATTTGGGGTTAAAATTATAATGAGGTGAAGGAATTAGGGACTAAACCTTATAATTAAAGCTCAGGGATTAAGTGGCAATATTTCCTTTTTGTAAAAACCCCGAATCAGATTTGGCTTGGCAGTTTCTTTTTTTTTTTCTTTCATTCTTTCCGGGTGAAACAGAATCGTTCTCCTCTCGTCAGCAAGGGGAAATAGCTCTAGGGATCTGCCATATTAGACTAATTGAAGGTAAATTGTCTTCTTAAGTTTAGAATTTTGTTGATTAAAAGAATCATGAGGGATTGATTTTACTATAATAGTTGATTTTGGAATTCATTTTAAAATTGTAAATTTGAGTGAGAAATTTTGAGATTGTTGAGATATAGTAAAAGGAGGGGAAAAGTTATAATATTTAAGGTTGCATCACGAGAATTACATATTATGTTTTGTATATGAGACAAGGATTTGTACAGTGGATTTATTTTAATGGGAGAAAATTGTGATTGTAGGAGCAAATACTAAACTAAGCAAGAAAGTAGGACATGGATGACATGAGAAATTGGGATTAGTTCTTGTAATGTGTAAATAGCATTAGTTAAATTCTATTTAATGATTGAGTTATATTTATTGGTTGTTTTTCTTTAGGCTCCGGCTAATTGTGTGGAATTGCAATTGAAAGATAATTATTGAGGTAAGTAGCAATACTCTCCAGTGTTTTTAAAATAAATCGATATATTTAAATGGGTTTTGTCCAAATTTGATTTATTTATCTATTTGATTATTTATTTTTCTATTTCTTAGAGAATGATTTTTACTAAATATTTTTAATGATGGAATGAGATGATTTGTGGATCAAGTATAATATTTTTATTTAAATTTGAGATGAGATTGTGGCCATGTGGAGGTGGCTAATTTAAATATGTTTTCTCCATTATTATTGAAATTGTTACTTTTGGAACGATTTTTTTTATTTGTCTTGGCTGGATGATTCACCCTTGTGAGGGTTGAGTTATTTGTATTGTGATAGATCCGGGATTTATGGATTGTGGATTGTGGATTGTGGATTGTGGATTGTGGACCGTGTATTGTGAATTGTGGATCGTGTATTGTGGATTGTTGTACAACCATAAGGGATGAATAATGGAATATTTTGGTTTCGAGGAAAGAATTGTATTTCTTTTATCGTTTCGTTTTCAATAAAAATTCAATTTTAAAGTTTTATGCTTGGTTGTGATGGATATGTATATTACTTACGGAGTTCTTAAACTCACGTTTTCAAATTTCATCTCATTTTAGGTGAGGAGGTATGAGCATTGGGATTTGCATGAGGATTGAGAGATCGTTAGAATAAATTGATAGAAATTTAGCAATAGCTCAATTGGAAGCTTATTTGGTTTTATAAAATAAGATGTTAATCACTTTACATTGTGGTTAAGAGATTTGATTTTGTTATTTTGAGACTATTAAGATTTGTTAATGGAATTGTTTATCTTAAAGTTGCAAGGCTACATTAGAATTTTATGGGAGATTGTATTGGTATGAAGGAAGATGGCCTTACACGTTTATGGGGTTAACCTATAAATGTGTGGTGTTTGTTATGCCCAAACCTATGGGTTGGGGCGTGATAGTGGTGTAACATCACATATGTTATGCACATGCAATGGTTGTAAAGAGGTTCTCAGCCGGCATGGGGGGCAACAAAATATCATAAAGGCTGGACGGTGGTATGGTTTGCAGTAGTATGGGCTCTATGGCTTGCAAGAAATGATGCTGTTTTCAATGGAATCAAGCCTGCAGTGCGTTGAAGGATTTTTGGAGCTTGTCCGGTATCGGTCTTATGTTTGGATTAGTGGAATTCTGGAGGGTTGGAATTATTCCTTATCTGATGGTGCCAAACCAACGTAGATGCACCATTAAAAAAAAAAAATTTTTGAAATAGCATCTACGCTTCTATTTTGGTTTCAAAAATATTACTTGTAATTTGTAAAAAGGTAAGAGTTCTCTTTATACTTTAATTATAAATAAAATTTTCTGTTGGCAGTTAAAAAAAAAACCCATACATACCTAACATTTTTTGGTATAAAATTGAACTAATATCCATATAATAATAATTACTATTACTTTTAAAATAAATTATTATAATTATCTACTTCGTATTTCTTACTTATCAATGTTTATTGTAGAATTGCCCCTTTCTAAGTTTTGATTTGAATATAATCTAGTAAAGTTGGAGTGAAATATTTAATTTCAGAATTTTTTAGGTATCAATTGATGATGCTTTTTATTTGTGTTTGGGAAAGGATTTTACTTGATTCTTCTCTTTTCATAATTTAACATAATTCATTTCTCATTCTGCATTGAAATTTGGTTGTACTGAAATTTGTTTGAGGAGGTGATTTAGTTTGAATTTTCTTAATATGTATTAACTTACTAGACTGTATTTTAATTTGCTACATATATAAAAAAATATTTCAATTTAATTGGTAATATTTAAAGTAAAATATTTAAACAAGTACAGCATATAAGTATATCCATAAGTTATCCGCTAGCATTAAGTTATATAAATATTACATTTAGGTCTTAGAATAATTAAGTAAATATTAAGTTTAAGAAATTCTACTTAAAAATTTTTAAATTATTTATTAAAAAAATTATATAAATATGACTCATATGGTCAAAAATGCTCACCCCTATCTGAAAATATTCTCACCGTCCTAAACAAACACAATGTCCTGTTGTTGTGACATGCCAGAAATAACTAGAAACATGACACAAATGTACACATCAAGAGTCACAGATAAAGGCAATCTACGTAAGGTTTCCCATTTATATTCAAAAAGTTCATAAACATAATCATGATAATGTCTAAATCAACACGTGTTTGTCCCGCCAGGGACCCTGACTGTACAAAATGTCCCTCAATACAAGAGAATAAGACAACCATTATTGCCACCATCAACCTCTCAGTTCCAAAGAAAATGGGAAGAACTCCAAACTGCAATGTAGATGGCTTGAAGAAAGGAGCATGGACCTCCGAAGAAGACGAAAAGCTCATCGCTTACGTTCAGAAACATGGAGAAGGAAGCTGGCGTTCCCTGCCAGAGAAAGCTGGTCAGCTTTCTGATCTCTTTCCAACTTAAAATTCCTGCCATTCCTCTTCAATTTTTTTCATTTTTTTCAGTTTCCCTCAAGATGAACATCTCATTATTTTTTATGGTTTTTTTTATACAGGTCTTCAAAGGTGTGGAAAAAGTTGTAGACTTAGATGGGCAAATTATCTCCGGCCTGGAATTAAGAGAGGAGAATTCACTTTAGAAGAAGAAGAAACAATTATTAAACTTCATGCTGCACTTGGGAATAGGTTTATTTTATATATTCTTCCTACTATTTTGAGGAAGGGCATTCAAAATTTTCTTAATTTCTATATTTATTCCCTACTCCCTACCTATAATTTATGTTCTTCCAGGTGGGCAACAATAGCTCGCCACTTACCAGAAAGAACAGATAATGAGATCAAGAATCACTGGCATGCTCATTTGAAGAAAAGATTAACCAAAATGGGTATAGATAATTCTTCCCAAGGGAGTTCTACAGCAAGTTCATCCGGTCAGCTGCAGCATTACCAAGGCTCTTCAGCATCCACTGCTAAGCTTCTGAATAAGTTAGCCACCAATTTGACAATTCTACAGCGTATTGATACAAATCTTATTTCGCAATCGATGTCAGTGGGTACCGCTAGTACGAGTAATGTATCAAGCTCTTCTGAAAATGTCTCGGCCCCATCAGGACCGGTTGTGTTAGATACATCTTTGTTGGGAAAAGATATACCTTCGTTGTTTTCGATACAGCTGGATTCTCCGTATGTGTCAAATGCCCTTTTTTCAGAATCAGTGGAAGGTAATAATGTGGCCGATGATATTGTATCTACATTAAGCAATGTTTCCACTCCTACAGGTCATGGAGTCATGAACAAAATGGATGCCAAATTCTCATCATTGAATTGCAATGAGGATCAACTTCAAGATTGCAGAACTTGCGTTCTTCAGGAACCATTATTGGAAGGTGGTACTAGTACTACTAAGACAGCTCCAATTGTTCAATTTATTGATGATTTTTCTGATGATATTGATATTAGTGGCATATGGGACTGCTGTATTGAGTGTGATATGGGCTCTCCATCCATTTTCTGATGATGACTTTAACTTTGTAGAAAATGCTATATTACCAGAAGACCATGACATTCCATGAATATGATTCAACAATCCCCTTGTAAATCTTAACCATTTTGTGGTGAACTATTGAATAAAAATTTTATAATTTTTGATGTTTTTGTTCAATGGATGAATTTTGTTAATTTTCTTGAATGTATAAAATGGATATTTATATATGTAAAATTTTCTGAAAATTGTTCTAAATTAAACACCAAAAATATAATTGATAGAGAAATTATAAATTATGATTCATATAATTATGGGAGTAAATTTTAGATTTTATATTAAATGTTAATTAGCTAGGATAAATCTGGGGTTTCTTATTTAGTATATTACCTAATGCCTATATAAATTAAGGTTAGCTATGTATTCAGTTTCATATAATTCAATAATAACATTTCAATATGTCATTCTTTCAGTTTTCTCTTCTCTATTCTCCCTAGTTTAATTTCTTCCATATGGTATCAAAATTGTAAGCTTTACAGAGTGAGATCCTTATTTCTTTTTTGTGTTCGCATTCTTTTTCAATTTAATTTTCTAGAAATTTTTTTTATTATTAGGGTCTCCTAAAAATGATGACCTCCCTTGACCAATTGATTTTGACTAAAACAATTCCTCTTGGTTTGTCAAATTCAATATGCTCAGAACATGTTCTTAATGAGCTAATTTTGTTCTACTTTGATTTATTGCCAATATAGTTTTTTTATATTGCTTCACTTTTTCTAATAATTCTTCTATTTTAGATTGCTTTGTGTGTTTTCAACTTTTATCATAGATGTTGATTTCTTTTCTCTCAAATTCTTCCAATTTCCTCACTCTATGTTTGTTACTTTTCTAAACACTAATTCTTCAATTTATTGTATTGTGGTTCTCCTACCTTAGTCTTTTACATCCCTAATTTCTACTAATTTCTACTTGTTCTTATTTGTTGCTCTAGGTGAATTCTCATATTTTGACTTCAAGCTGTTTCCAACTTCAAGATTTCTGTTGTTTTCTCACTTAAATATTGGGTTCAAGATCAAGGAGCATTTTGTGATTAGTTAATGGATGATTTCTTGTATTTATAAATTTAAGTTGGTTAAATTACTCTTGAGGGGATGATAGACATATTATAAGATATGATTCATATAATTATGGAAGTAAATTTTATATTTTATATTATATGTTATTAGAGTAGATCTAAGGTTTATTGGTTAGTAACTTAATTACCTATTATTTATATAAAGGCTAGCAATGTATTTAATTTCATATCAATAATATTTCAATATGTTGTTCTTTCAGCTTTCTCTTCTCTCTTTTTCATGGTTAATTTCTTTTATAATTATAAATGTTTTAAGTGGAAAAAATTAAAAAAGTTTGATTTATTAGGTGATGATGGACTGTGTGAAATCACTTGATTGGTGAATTATAGAATTGTAGTTAATTTACTTTCCATGCATATCTGGCAGCTAGATTTCATGTCAGGATTAAATTAAAAGAACTTTAAGCAGACCATAAATTATATAAAAAAAAAAAGAAAAGAAAAGAAAGGAATTTTAATCAAAATAAGTTCAAAATCACTAAATCGATTAAATTTTATAATTAGAGTATATATGGTAATTATTAATGTCCTTTTAATTTGATTCATATATGTGTAATTCCCTCTTAATGGTCTAAAATACACTCAATCTATGTTATATACAGTGATTCTTGTCTTGCGAAATGAACAAGGATTACTCATGAAAATGCTTGCCAAAAA